GGGCGCGGAGCTGAGCTGCCTCGGGGGAGAGGACGGTCCCCGGCCGGCACGCTCGGCAAGGCAGGGCCCTGGGGAAGCTGCAGCCAGGGCTGGGAAACGAGGAACACACCGGTCGTAGGATGTGATGAAGGGCGTTTGTGGCGCTCCGCTGCCGGGACGTGCAGCAGAAAGAGCAAACCTCCCTGCTGAGAGCTCAGCTCCGACTGGGAGATGTGAAAATGGGGGTACCCTTGGCCAAGGGGCTCTTCAGGGTCCGGCTATCTTGTCTGTAACCCTCGTGCTGCCCAAGATGGGGGTGTTTAAGAAACCCTTTTGCAAAGCTTCACTCTTTTATCGTTGCTGTTAAACTACAGCAGGACAAACTCCGCAGCTGCCGGGGCCGGTAGCCCTGCCTGAGGCCCTCCCTGTGCCGCCCACCCCAGGCGGGGATGATCCAGAGCTCTTTCCTCCTTCACAGAAGTTGCAGCTGAAAACGTGGTTAAAGACGGTGCCACAGATGTTTCTCCTGATTCTGTGCACCATTGGGGAATAGCAGCTCTAAAAGGGGAAATAAAATACTTCCAAAAGTCGGCAGGAACGTGGTTCTGCTCAGCGTCCCCTGCAGACCGCCTGCCCGTCCACCCCAACCGCCAACAAAGCTGGGCGCTTTGGTGGCACGTCTCGGTCCCCCGCTCCTCCCGGGCTCCCTGTGCAGACCAGCCGTGACTGCCTCTTTCGCAGGCTAAACTCTCTAAGAAATAATTGCTTATCCCAACATGTGGTGCTTAATAACCCGTGGTTTCAAAAGCCGTAATTACATCCTCGTCACGGAAGGGCGATGCTGCTGCTTGCAGCCTGCGATGAGCACGCAAGCTCCTGGCTGGGGCACGCTCAGGTCTGTGAGCAGAGAGTTAAATCTCTTTGGGGGCATGTGGCACAGCCCTTCCTAGAGAGCTTGGAGCCGGGGGAGCGAAGGATCACTCCCCGGTGGGTCGTGGCTCTGCCGCGCTGGCACTAACAGATCCTAAGCAGCCGTAAAAGCCAAGTGGAGGAGGTTAAGGTAGCCTGGATCTGAATTTTGCTGATGAGGGTCATGAAATTAATGCAGTAAGTAAAACAGGAAAGACACGTGTGGCCTGTGGACTGATGCCGGTTGTAGAATAATTACAAAGAATGATTCGGCAGCGGTGGGAGCCTGTTTCCCCCAGGGAGGATGTAGGCAAGGAGCTGTGCCGTTCCCCCGCAGAGGCGAGTAATGACTCAGGATCACGGATAGTATAATGTGGTGCGATTGGTCAGTTAATCTCTGTGTCTTCTGGGATACATTCAGTGGTAACTGATCTTTCTGAAGATGAGCACCCTGGGCTGGTGGGAGATGACCCTGCTCATCTCAAGGCCAGGTTGGATGGAGCTCTGAGCACCCTGGGCTGGTGGGAGATGTCCCTGCCCATGGCAGGGGGGTTGGAACCAGATGAGCTTCAAGGTCCCTTCCAACCCAAACCATTCCATAATTCTATGATTCTAAATCTCCTGCTTGCACTGGTGCAGGAGCTGGAGAGCAATACACGTCTGGGTGGTATCTGGACGAATCCTGGAACAGGGGGATTGCGCCCAAAAATGAGAAAATATTGACAGCAGCACAGTTTCCATTGCTAAAATTAGTTTTCCCCTATCCCCAGATCCAGTTTCTGCAGGTGTCTGACACAGCTGAGGAGCCAGCCCCGGCGCTGGCCGTGCCACTGGGAGCAGACCAGGTCAGACCCCTTCCGCCGGCACTCGCCATCAGCTGGATTTTGCTCCGGGCTAGTGGGCTGTGTGAAAGCCTCCTCAAGGCAGTATCACAGAATCACAGAATCACAGAATGTTCAGGGTTGGCAGGGACCTCTGTGGGTACCCAGCCAAACCCCCGGCCCAAAACGGGCACCCACG